AGGAGGAGGAGGAGGAGCAATGAGCAATGAGCAATGCGCGGGGAACCCACATGAGTTACTCGATCTCATACAATAAAACTGGCCATGAACTCAGCGCAACCCGACTTCTTGGGGGGAGCGGGTTAACCTTGCAAAGAGACAGGGGGACCCCCCTCTGGCAGGGCCAGCACTGCCCCTAAGCGACGGCGAACCCCAGGCGCCGCGCAGGCGCACGAAGGGGACCGTCTAGGGGACCGACGCACTGGGTCTGCCGTGGGAATCTTGCTTACCCTTTCCTCCTCTGCGTGGAGCCCGTTTAGCCGCCACTACTAAGGTGATCGGGTGAAGATCGGGATTCGAATATGTGTCGAAACTCGTGGCCTCAAAGGGGTCTGGGATGGCCCCTCGGGCCACTAAAGCTGCTAATCGTTCACTACCTGCAAAGGCCCCTCCCTCTACTCAATAAACGTCTCTCACGGGGGCCCTCGTACTCACGCTCACGCGAACGACTCCTGTCGTTCCTTTTTCTCTTTTTTGTCCTCAGCTCTCCTGATCCTGATTCTTGTCCTTGCCACCGCCATTCTCGAAGATCGCCAGGAGCCTCGCCGCCTCGCGCTCGCGGGGGCCCCTTGGGGCGGGTCCTACCAGCTGCGTCGACTTGGCCTTGTCCGAGTTCAGAAACTGAATCAGCAGCGACCGCGCCTCCCTCCCTGGCTCGTCGCATGAGAGGGCGAACGTGAGCATGCCCTCCTTCTCCTCCGCCGCCACCGTGGCCCCGTCCTGGTTCTTCTTCGGCGTGAACTTCTTGTAACGGAAGTGCAGCGCGTGCTTGGCAACATCCGTCGGCAGCTTCTGGGCCAGGTGCTTCTGGAAGTACTCGTAGAAGACCTTCTCCTCGCTCCCTTTGTAGGTCTCGCTGCCGCCCAGGAAGGTGTCCATCTGGTTCGCCAAACTCATGGCGAGCGCCCCCCAGACCTGCGCGTGTCGCGGTCCTATTGCCCTGAAATCTACGCGTTCGCCGGCCTGCTGGCGCTCCTTTAGGTTTCTGTTAAACCTCGTCGTGCTTGAGCCCCGCGTCGATCATGATCTGCGTCAAAGGGTCCGCGGTCTCGGTAGTCTCCCACGTCTGGTAGACTGCCCCCGCGAGGTTGGCCAGCTCGCGCGCGTCGTCGAGGCGCAGCTTTGTGATCACCTTCAACAGCGCAGCCTGCAGGTCGCCCTTCTCCTTCTTCTTGCCGCCCTTGGCGGCCTGCTTGGCTGGCGGCGCCGAGCCGTGGGCCCCATCTGCTCCGCGTTTCACTGTCGCCGAAGGCCCCTGCATCCAGCTCGCCGCCACCACCTGGGACATTGCCTATGGCGGTGCTCGGAGTGTCCGCGAGGCGGCGGCGCTTCCGAGGGAGAACTGGGCCAGGGAGATGGCTGCGTAGATGTCGGCATAGGGAGTCCAAGTCAGGGGCCTCGAACTCGCATAGGAGGCGCTGCAGGGTCGACGGAGGTGATGGAGGTCGCAGCGTCCTACCCCCACCGAAACGACAGCGCCCCCGTTGTACGGCTAGTACTAGATGCCGAGCTGCGCAAGCCCTGTCCCAGAAGACTTCCCGACAGCATATACATGTATTGCGTGGTGTGAGGACATGGCACAACGATCGATAATCATGTTGAGAACGCATGTGTGCCATGAGCCCCTGTTTCGTAGTAAAACGTTCACCGCATTCAACGACAAGACAGACGAACTTGGGAGCATCGGGGTCCAAGAGCTCCTCATGAGGAGCCTCAGGAGCCTTTTCCGTGTACTCTGGGGGCGCGAACCGCGAACCGAACGTACATGATCGAATAGCCGTGGAATCGATATTCTCGAACTCACACTGCACCTCAGGGCCCCGCAGGAGGCCAGGGCGGGCGGCGAGACATCCTAGAAGATCACCGTGGTCTGGGAGGAACTCCTGAGACCATCGGAGATCATCAACGACGCGTCTGGCCCACGGAGAGGCCGTTCAAGTGAGCGCGCCGTCGACCATGGGGGCCATGCCTTTCTCGAAGGCCACGGAGCCGAAGAGACCGGGGGGCAACTGGAGGTGGCAGGACGGGTGGCGGGACCAAGCTTTGCACCAATTCAGACGACGAATCCCGAGCTCGATGTGCGTCTCACAGATGCGCCAATGCCTGAGGACTCCTTTTGTCGTCAACGTGCGGGTCGCTCCAGACTCTGTCTGCCAGCTGGCCCTTCCACGCATGGCCGCGCGGGCGAAGTGCGCCACCGCGGCATCTAAACTGGCGCTCTGATGCTTGGTGATCAAGAAGGCCCCCAGGCCACACAAGGCTGAATTCTGAACCAAAGACATAAAAATCGAGCGCGTGAACTTCCACGGCAGCCGCAAAGACCAGAAACCACCCATCGAATAAAAAGCGGCGCGAGCTGCCTGGTGGCGGCGTGCAATCTCCTGGCTGGACGCCTGGGGCATCGTGATGTGGGGCCCAAGATGCCTGACTTCCTCCTTGATTTCCCCCGACAGGAGCGCCC